GCTTGCTGTGCAGTTGCCCCTTAGCTGTTTTTGATCTCCAGATCTTTTAGACCCACTTACATAAATCTCAAAGTCACTCTTCATTTTGTTTTAAAAATTCTGTATGTTTATGAATGTGTACAGATGTAATATGCATGTATATAGTACGCATATATTTACATATGTGTTCATATGCATGTAAATATACTTAACAAATATGTATATTCTGCTAATAACTAATACTTTTCAACAAAAATAAATTGGCATGCATCTAAGATAAACATTCTCTAAATGAAATTCTTTATATTTCAAGAGACCTGGAAACCTGTATTTTTGAACTGCAGACATTTCGTGTGGGGCAAATCATCTCTATGAAGCAAATATTAACTAGATTTTCTTCCATTATTTCAAAGAGAAAACCTGGCTGCAGGTAGAGGTGAAGCTCAGTAGTAGGGCATGTGCTTAGCATCTGAGACCTTGGGTTCAAACCCCAGCAATGGGGGTGGGGGGTGGGGGGGAGAGAAAGAGCTTTGACTATTTGCATGTGATGCATTTGGATAAAAGAAATTTAGGTGGCCCTATTATGACTACGCAATTTATTGTTAATCTAACTGAAACTTGACCCTGCTCCTTTCATTGATCAGATGATGAACACATTTAACTCTTAGGGATGTTGAAAGCATACAGAACATAAGTAATCAATAAAGTGATGTTTGAAGACAGTTAGAATACACTCATGATTCAGGTAATGAATTATTTTGTAAACATCAATAAATGCTTTTCTTAAAAATAGTCACTATTCAAAAAAAAGTGTTCACCAAAGAAATATGATACATAAGGGAAGGAAAATAAGACAATTTAAAAGAAATCTAGTGAAATCATCTGATGTCACTGAGCTGTCAACGCTGTTTCTGTGTTTGATTTTATATCTGGCACAGGTATTTTCTAACTGCAAGTTTATTTATATGAATCTTTTAAAATGCTGTTATGACAGAGACTTAAAAGTCTTAAATGTTTTAAAATATATCATTGGGCTCATTGATATATTTTTAAATTAAAAAATAAATGCAACATATGTAACTTCTACAGGATTTCTCTTTTAAAAGAAGGAATACCTTATAGAATATCATCATTACAGGCTCAGAAACTATGCCCAGTTCTCTCTCT